TTTATTAAAGAAATATGAAAAATATTATCAATAAGAAACTCACCCATTTAGTTGAGGATGCATTTCCTGGCTGAAATTGTGGCTCACGATGTCGAAGGGCACTGACCTCGTACAACGTACAGCTGATCTTTCACTGCACTGTCACCAAACACTGATCACTTAATTAATCACTGATAATCCGAATCACTTGTGGATATTATGAAAGATCACTGAGACTCGTTCGCGGATAATCGTTTATTCGACGCGTTCGTTCGGGATTCGACGTTTCACTGCCGAAAAATTCAGACCTCGACCATGAGCCCTTGTTGTTCGTCGTTCGGTCGTCAGAGGAAATGACACCCGGTACCATTTTCGTCGAAGCGCAGTGTATCGCCATATGAAATAAACAAGATATGCAGAGACGTAAACTGCGACCGACCCGCTGTCACCGATGGTACCCTGCGCTCTTAGAAAGTAATTAATGGCCGTTCGGAGAAAATAGTATCGGGTGTCATTTCCTCGGACGGCCGAACGACGTAAGACAAGGGCCCACGGTCGAGGCCTGGATTTTTTGGCAATGAAACGTCGTCTGCCGAACGAACGCGTCGAATAAACGATTATCCGCGAACGCGTTTCAGTCATCCCTCGTGATATCCACAAGTGATTCGGATTATCAGTGATTAATTAAGTGATCAGTATTTGGTGAGAATGCAGTGAAAGATCAGCTGTACGTTGTACGAGGTCAGTGCTCTTCGACATCGTGAGCCACAATTCCAGTCAGCAAATGCATCCTTAACTAAATGGATGAGTTTCTTATTGATAATATTTTTCATATTTCTCTAATAAATAAATCCTTTACGTCCCTTAACGCGATTATTTATTATTAAATCAGCTTTGCGAATCATTCGTCGAATTCTGTTCGGACACGGAATTATTTAAATTAAAATATCATTTACGAACTTTGTTAATCTTCACTGTACACCTTACATAAAAATTTCATATGGTACGCATGAGGTGTCATGCACACCAGAAAATTAAAAAGGCTGTCACGGTTAAACTACATATTATTTCGGGCCCGAAAAATTAGTAAATATTCTTCAGACGTTCTAAAGTAGAGGTGAACAAAACATATTTTTCTTAAAAATATCACTTTTACGTGATAAAAAAAAATCCGGAAAGTTCACGCTTCGTAACTTGTTCAATACTTCGAACGCGGCTCGAGTCCGTCCCGACCTTCTGTCAAAGCCTCGTGCTGCGGACTCTCTCGCGGACTCTCTCTCTCTCGCCGTCACCTCTCATTGGCCAGTGTTTTCCGTTAATAACTCGTAAACAAAGTCGCAGATTGCATTTTCGCAAAGGAAAAAGTTACTTCAAATGACCTCAGCTATCCCTCATTTTCGGCTGTTAAAATAATTGTGGAACACCCTGTATAGCTAAAATATTATAAGAAAATGAGTACATCGATAAAAATTCAGAATATCTTCACTTTGCATATACACAGAATATCCCATAATTATGTTAACACCTGCAAAGGGATGATTCCTGAGGTCATTTGAAGTAACTTTTTCCTTAGCGAAAATGCAATCCGAGGCATCGATAACGAGTTATTAACGAAAAACACCGGCCAATGGGAGACGAGATCAGCTAGCACGTGGTGACCGAGCTCGGTTCTCATTGGTCACCGTTTAACGATGCCTCGGAAAAAATTTTTGTAAAGGAAAAAAGTACTTCAAATGACCTCAGAAATCACCCCTTTCCGAGTGTTAACATAATTGTGGAACACCCTGTTCATACACAGGGTATCCGACTTTAATCTATAAATGAAAATAACTCGTTAATTACACACTGCATCAAAAAATGTGTCAAACAGAAATTAAATGGTTTCAAGGGTGCTGCAAGATGATATAATTCATTTTTCTATAAGTAGACGCGTACGGGGTAAATGAAAATCAACTTTGTTTTTTTTCAAATGGTTTCGTTTAATTTTGAATACGCTTATCGGTTTGGTCTATCGTTCCGAACAGAAAAATATTAGACCTCGCATGTCAAAAAATTATTAGTTTACGAGATACTTTAGTGCAAATATTGCAAACTGATAGTTTTGTAGATATTGACTGCTTTAAGGTGACACTGGCATTGACGAATAATTTTGTCTACGACTTTCTTCGTTGCGTATTAACTCGCATCTTTCGTTGTTTCGTTTGGTTGTTGCCGCCCAGATTGACCTAGTAGACAAATGTAAGTTACGCAAGGAGTGGTGATAGTCGACGCATGCGCGGGAATCCTGCACAGCGGCGCGGCTCACAGTGGTCCCAGTCGATGAATTAGCTGTTCACGATGACTTCAACTATGTTTCAAGACGTAAAGATAGTTTTATATAGGTCTTTGAATTCGTTTTAACGTCAGCTATAACATTACTAAGTAAAAAAGATATAGTATCAATTAAAAAATCTAGGTAACTTTAATTTTTTATTTAAAAAAGAGTTTTTATTTAATTTTTTATATTTACGTTTATAGAAGATTTAATACTAATTAATTCTTGTTCGAAATATTTTTCGTCAAAGCACCGGAAATTACTGAAAAATTGCGATAAAGACGTGGATAAAGACGTTTGCAAATTTTTATTTTAGCAATAGTACATTTCTCTTATTTAAAAATGCTGTTGCCTATGAGAAACATTGCTTATATAATTTATTTGAACATTAATATTCAATCAACTAAGGAGAACTGTCAACGTTTTATATAATTAACAATTAATACCTTTAAAAGAAGGCGCGATATGTGTGTTGAGAGTCAAAAGATGTTAATTATTAATTATATAAAACGTTGACAATTCCCCTTAGTCGATTAAATATTATTATTATAATTAATGCGTCGCGACAGTATCTCAAAATTATAGTGTTCACCCGGTAGACGCGCCACGCCGCTGTGCGGGACGCTCGGCGCATGCGTCACTTATTCCACTCTTTGCGTAACTTATTCTCTCGACTACACTAGCGTCATCGCAGGCAACCATATTTAATAGTACATTGCGTAAAGTTTTCACAGGAGTTCAATTATATTACAAATATCTCAAAAATGTTTATAAGTTTATAATGATTTTCATAAATATTGTTGTACAGGACATTTAATGAATTTTAAGATTGACTAATTATTGTGAATCATTAAAAATTTAAGAGTTGTCCTCAAGATTCCTTGATATGATACCTCTGGAATTTCTTATTCTAATGATAAACAAAAGAAGACAATTCTAAGAAAATACAATAAGAAAATGTGCATAGAAAGTTCAACAGATAACGAAGAAGAAATTATTTTAAATGATTAAAGTGATTACGATGAAAGTTTTGACACAGAATGTTTGTTTACTCTTATGGAAATAACATTCGCTTATTTTAATGAGAATGCAGATTCATTATCTGTAACCAAATTTGTATTATCTCGTAAATAAATTCGTATTATCTCGTAAATAAATAGATAAATTCATATCAAATTTTTAGAAATTGAAAGAAAGAGTTAATTTGGTGCGCATAACCTGTATAAATTTTACAATACAAACAGAAAGAAATTTCTTGAAATTGAAGAAATAAACTGCTCATTCTTTTCTAAGCAAATTCAACCTTTCACAGATTCATCGTTTTTCAAGTCAAATGCATTTTTCGTGGGTGTCACGAGAGTGAAATAGCATAAATATAACTTGAAGTACTTCTTGCAAATTGTTTTGAGCAATGTAAACCTCCGCGAAATCTAGGAGCTTCGAGACCTTGTTGATCAGACAACGCTGACCTTGCGATTTTTGCCATACCGATGACATAATAGAAATTTTTTAAAAAATTCGATCCTGCAGAAGAAGTAGTTTTCAATTATTCTGTTGCAACTACTATCCGTACAAATTAACGTGTATTATTAAATAAGTATTTCAAGTTTATTGTTACATATACAGAGTGTAGCATTTAAGTTGAGGTTGTAAAAAATCTCGTAGACACGTGATTAAAAAAAAAAAAAAACAAATTGAAGCACGACCTTTCATATTTCGAGTGGGGAGTCAAATGACGCTACTAGTTTTTTTAATGCGTGGACGTTTTCAAGGTTATTTCAAGGTCATCTTGCTTTTTTCATCATGAAACTATATCTTTATTTCAGAATCATATTCTACGTAAAAAAAATGCATAACTATTGTTCGAAATATTTTTTTGTGAGTTCAATATTTCCATTAAAATGGTAACGTTACCTTTTTTCATTACATTACAAGAAAATGTTTCAAACTAAAGTTAAGCATTTTTTTATGCAGAATAATTAAATAGTAATTTTGATCTCAAAGCTTCTACTGATAACAATATACAGGGTATTCCAAAATTATGTTACTTACAGGAAGTGAAGGGTTCCTGAGGTGATTTGAAGTAACTTTTTCCTTAGCGAAAATGCAATCCGCGGCTACGAGTTATTGACGAAAAACACCGACCAATCGCAGAGCGAACGCAGCCGGCGCTCCGCTTTTGCGGTCAATACCGCGTCGCGCTAGCCGTCTGATGCAGCGGCAGAGGTCGCGAGGGCGGAGCGTCAGCCGTATGCGATCTCTCACTGGTCAACGTTTTTCGTCAATAATTCGTAAACGAAGCCGCGGATCGCATTCGCGAAAAAGAAAAGGTTACTTCAAATAACCTCGGGAACCCCTCATTTTCTGGAAGTTGCATAATTTTTGGATACCCTGTATATATAGCTCAATAACTAGTAAATTCGAAGTATGGACAAAAATCATCGCATATCTAAGAACGTTATGAATATCAAAGAAATATGAGATCGATTTACGAGGTTTATCGCTTGCATCAGATAATAAAATACTGCAAATTTCGTGGAAACATTAAATAACGATGTAAGTAAAATTTAATCTACATGTATATCTTTATAAAAGGAACGATTTAAAATCGATAACGGGCACGTACTTTTCATTACTATTTGTAAAAGTGAAACTTCAAACGAAACGATTCGGATAGGTTTCTTGAATGTTGAATGCTCATCAAAAATTAATGTCACGTGATCAAACTATATTTTACAGGTAAAAAAATATAGGCACAGATTCTATTTACATAAAATAGCACGGAGAACAATGTCAATTGTTTCCCTCGTTCCAAAGATGATCGTTCTATCTGATGATTAATAAGATGAAAGATGTCGGTGACGTGATGAGAATGACACGGAATGGTCAATCATTAAATTGTGATGACACGTTGCCACAGACACAGCAACTTTTCTCTACTTCCTTTCATGCTGTTAATCCTTCAGCTCGTCCTCCTTGGCAACAAGAGTGCCAACAATCCTCCAACTGCAATTAAACGAATAAATATATAAGATTTTTATTTTTTGTCAAATAAAGTCGTTCAGTCTGGAGAAATTCCATTCTATTTCATTTACGTACGTTTGTTGTAGCGTTATTTTGCAAATTTCTATAGAAACAAAACCTTTGGTTGTAACGTTAAATAGATAAAAATTACGTTAATTTACAATTAAATCGTATATCTGGAAAGTCGTGAAATACAAGCTACATGCATGCATATGTACTAGCAAAAAATTCCACTTACGGATCACTAGACTGCCGACCAAGAAAATTGGTATTTCGCAGCTAATGTCGAGCAACATTCCGAAAGCCAAATTGCTGGCGATCGCTCCGATTCTGCCGAAGAAGGTCATCATACAGATGGCAACGGCGCCCACGTGCGTCGGAAATATGTCGACCACGATACTCCCGATTACGAAATTCGCGGTGACTATTGTCAGTGAGAACACGCAGGTCACTATAAGTATCTGCAGGGAAGACTGGACGAAGTATATTGCGAAGCCGAATATGCCTGCCAATAGCATCGTTGTCACTGGAAAATCAGATGAAATCTGCATTTAGAAGTGGTTCAAGGAGGACCGTGACCTACGGACTGCAATTACCGGATCTGGATTTTGACCCGGCATACCCATTTAAATCGTTGCTTAATTATTCAATTTTTGGCAAATTAAAGAATAATAACAATAAATGAAATAAATAAGATAATAATAAATAAAGTAAATAAAATAATAATATATAAAGTAAGTAAAATAATACTAAATAAAGTAAGTAAAATAATAATAAATCAAGTAAATAAAATAATAATAAATAAAATTAATAAAATTAATAAAATTATTTTTTCTATAATTCTCTAATTTTCTATAATATTCTATAAATATTAGCCGACTGTGACTGGGAACAACTTGTTACAAATCACTGGATTTTCGGAAAGTATAAAACGACCACACGGTAGATTGCGTGTTAAAAGTGGAACTTTAAGAAATGAACATTCTAGTGATGCGATATGGGTCTCGGAATTATACAACTTCCGGGAAATAAGGGGTCTTGGGGTCATTTGTTGCTTTGTTTACGAAAGTTATTAACAAAAAACACGGGCCAATCAGACAGCGAGAGCGGCCGGCGCTCCGCCCTTGTGGTCAATGCCGCGTCGCGCTAGCCGTCTCACGCAGCGGCAGAGATCGCGAGGGAGGGACGTCAACCGCAAGCGATCTCTCATTGGTCAATATTTTACCTTAATAACTCGTGAACGAAGCTTCGTAGAACATTTTCGCCAAAGAAAAAGTTACTTCAAATCACCTCAGGAATTCTACACTTCGCGGAAGTAACATAATTTTGGGACACGTTTTCGGAAAACGAGCCAAAATGAAATGCACTTTCTGTTCTGCTTTGCAGCGGGAACGAAAGTATTCGGACACACCTTTTATAAAACGCAATTTTATACGCACACTGAAAATTTCATCGAAATCGGTCCACGTTGCTACGTGTTACGAACAATTAAAAATTGTCAAAATCGCAGTCTCCACGGCGTTTAGTCGAAAAGTGTGAGAAATATAGAGATTTTGACATCTCTCGATGTAAAATTTACCGAGATCTATAAAATATAGTTTCTAAATTTTCGTTATATGCTCGGATAAAAAAAGGTTAAAATGAAAACTAGTCTTTTTATTATTTTTTTTGTCATCCAAGTAATAGTAACATTAAAAAAGAAAGAACATTTGGATCATTCTTCAGTAGATTCCTTCTTCTATATTCTAAAAAAACAATTCAAGTCGTTTAGGCCAATTTCGAAAAAGTTGATGCGTTTTGGAAGGTTATGTCCCTCCTTTTGTCCCTCGCTACATGTTTATCTAATTACGTATAAATAGACAGGTTTATGCACAGTTATTTTCGTACCTGGAATTGTCCGTCGACCGACACGATTCGCCAGATAACCAGACGCGATATTACCAAGCAAGCAAAACGCATTGATAATCAGCGAATTAATGAAAACCATTTCGTCCATGTGGGGACTGCATTCTTCCACGGCGGTCTGTGAATCGACCAGAACGCTGGTCAAAGCTGCTTTCGGACCGTTTTCGTCGATTAATCTGCACACGCTCGTCGTTTGATTTGGATGAAGACTTTGGTAATTTTCGAAACGATTGAAAAGCTCTGGTAGCCATAGACCGAAACCGTAATACCTAAAACAGAATTAGTTTGTCGAGTTAAGATCGAACAAATATACGTCGAGATCAACGACGATGATTTATACAGGCTGCCCCAAAAATGTCTCGCAATCCGGAAGTGATGTATTTCTCAGGTGATTTGAAGTAACTTTTTCCTTAGCGAAAATCTTCTACGAGGCTTTGCTTACGAGTTATTAACGAAAAACACTGAGCAATGGCAGATCGCGTAAGGCTGACACCACGCGACGCCACGCCTACGCGACCACTGCCGCTGCGTCAGACGGCCAGCGCGACGCGGTATTGGCCGCAAGAACGGAGCGCCTAACGAGCACGCCTCTTATTGGTCACTGTTTTTCGTTAATAACTCGTAAATAAAACCACCGATTGCATTTTCGCAAAAGAAAAAATAACTTCAAATGACTTCAGGAACCCCCCATTTCTAGATTGCCAGACATTTTTAGGACACCCTGTGTATTAACCGTATGTATTATTTGTACCGCAGGAGTCAATGGACGTCTTTTAAAATTTTAATTCAACGCTGCTTTTACTAAAGAAATCCAGAGACGTCTTCTAACATTTTAATCGAACAGAATTTTTATGAAGTGGCATAAGCCACTATTTAAAATTTTAATTCGAGCCACCTTGCGCTCGAGGAATTTTTACGGTTGGCGTACCGAAAATTCGAACGTATTTATGTCGTTGAAGTAGTAAACAACGCTTCAAAAAATATGTAAAAATTATAATTAATCTGTTTAAGAAAAATTTGATAACAGATAGTATATCGATGTAGATTTTATGAAACAAAAATTGTTAATTGTTAATAAAAGTACCATCGGTTGTAACGGTGTTAAATAGCGATTAATACTTCAAAAAAAGAAACAGCGACGGCCGAACAATTGTTTATAATTATATTTGAACGGAAGAAAATATTTCTCTCGTGAAGAAACTTACCCGAACATGTTCATAAAATAAATAGCCCAAGTTAAAAGCGCGTATTTCAAAAGTGGCGGCGATGCGAGGCTACGCATTTGTTTCCAAATATTCTTCAGTAACTCTGTTATTACTCCTGATTTAAAGTAGTTCGTCTTATTGCTATTAATATTTACGGTCTCATCCGGCAACACAATTTTTACCTAAACGAGAAACAAAGAATCATTCGTTGTTTTTTTTCATTTTATAAGCTTGACATATTTTTATGGTTCATATTCTTGAACAGAATTGAATATTTACTCAACAGATGGAAATACGGGGTGTCCCAAAATTATTGTACAAGCGAGAAATGAGGGATTCCAGAGGTGATTTGAAGTAACTTTTTCTTCAGCGAAAATGCAATACGCGGCATCGTTTACGAGTTATTAACAAAAAACAGTGACCAATGAGAGGCGAGATTTGCTGGCGCGAGGCGGCTGAGCCAACGAGCAGTCGCAGTCCAGTTCCACTGATTGGCTCGGTCGCCTAGTGCTCTCCAATCGGAGAGCGAGCGCGCCGGCGCTCCGCCCTTGCGGCCAAAGCCGCGTCGCATTGCCGTCTGACGCTGCGGCAGAGGTCGTGAGGGTGTGGCGCCTGACGATCTCGCCTCTCATTGGTCATTATATTTCGTTAATAACTCATAAACGAAGCCGCGGATTGCATTTTCGCTAAGGAAAAAATTACTTCGAATCACCTCAGGGACTTCTTGCTTGTACAATAATTTCTTTTTCATTCTTGCTTGTATAAAAATTTTTGGATATCCTGTATACTTACAGGGTAATTATCCTCGTGATTCCCAGTATTTATCGCGTAGATTTTCCGCAAAATCTTCAACGCTTCCTCTGTTCTGCCTTGGGAGACCAGGAATTTCGGACTTTCCGGGTAGCGTGTGGCTATCAGAGTTACCATTAACGTTGGAAATCCAATAATGGCTAGGAAGAGCCTCCAAGAATTGTACTCGATTCCATGGAATTGGAATGATATCGGCAACGGTATGATCAGCCAAGCTAAACCTATATTAAAGGCAACAAAAAAACTATTAATTTCGTAACTCGTACTATGAAAAGACGTACACCCCACTCCAAAGCATTTGAAGTATATGTAGTATAAATTGTAACATTTCATTCGTTCGTGCGGATTAGTTTGTCCATTTAGTGCATTTTGTTCACTGAAACATATCTCGAGATCATCTTGTGCTCCTCGCTCGGTACGACGCACCTCGATTCCCCATATGCTTTTTTTTTTCTAACATGTAGAAAATACTACAAAATGCATGCTACCAAAATATCCGATAAATATAAAGTTAATTATGCCCGATAAGAAACGAACGGCACAGCAACAGTGATCACCCCACTAATTGCCGTACAAATGCAAAAATACGTAAGCTGTGTGCTCGAAAATTGGTGTCATTTCGAAAAAAAAATGTGTTGAAATTACCTGGCAATATTAACCATGACAGAGTCCAAAAAAATCCAACGTAACAGATCGTCTTCACCCTTTGTTTCTCTGCGTGGAATTCGCCGAGATACGAGTAGACCAATGAACCGGGCGCTCCGATGCTGAGAAATCGGTGAAACAATTACAATTGCACGTGCGTCGAAATTTCGAATTGCGAGCGTCAACGTATTTTTCTAATTGGAAATCAACGCTTCGATCCTATTGTGTCGGTCGATTCGAAATAATTCATGCGCCAATAATTCATTAGAATCGTTCGAAAGAGAAACTTTTAAATTCAAATGACTTACAAAAATCCGCTGAGACCTCTGAAAATTAACAGCACCTCGAAACTTTGAGACAGACTTCCCACGATCGCCAAGATACCGTCGCACGTCATTGTCAACAGAAGAATGTATCTTCTGCCATAGGCGTCGGCGAACACACCCCAGAAAAGAGAACTGAAAACTCCACCTAAACAAGAATTATCAATGATAACTTTTCAGCAAACGTTTCGAATTAATGTCAGATACGATCAGATGAGCAATGCGAATCATATATATCCGAATAAATACTTTTTATATTAATATAAATGTAATATTTATATACAGGGTGTCCCAAAAATGTCTCGCAATCCGAAAGTGGCGGGTTCCTCAGGTCATTCGAAGCAACTTCTTCGTTTACAAAAATTTTCTCCGAGGCACCGTTATCGAGTTATTAACGAAAAACAGTGACCAATGAGAGGTGAGCTCGGCTGGCGCAAGTTGACCGAGCCAATGAGCGAAACTGAGCTTCGTGCGCTGGTTGGCTGGGCCGCCTCGCGTCAACCGTACTCGATTCTTATCGGTCACTGTCTTTCGTTAATAACTCGTTAACGGTGTCTCGGAGAAAATATTTGTAAAGCAAAAAGTTGCTTCAAATGACCTGAGAAACCCGCCATTTCCGGATTGCGAGACATTTTTGGGACACCTTGTATTATAAAATATATATTATTATAATGATATAATGTGTAATGTAATTGCAACGTAATGTAATGTAATGTAAGGTAATGTAATGTAAATATTCATATAAATATATAATATAATATTAATATTTATATAAACATAATATAATATTGATATTAATATAAATAATATTTTTTAAAAGCAAATAAATAGTATCATTCGTATAACTTTCTGTTTCTATCAAATTGCTAATCATCTTGGTAGATTAAATTAGGTGATTAAAATATTTGTAAAATAAATATTTTTTCGTAGTGATCATAAATTTGTTATTTCCTCGTTGTTAAACTCTAGTCAATGAAAGAGACATCGAAATTTTATACAGGTATTCCACGCCAAATTCATCCGTTTTGCAAATCACGTTCGCTCTTTTGCAAGCGGGACTTACCTATTTGCAAATCAAATTCACTCTGCGACAAATCAAATTATCTTGTTTTGCGGATCAAGTCTTCCTACTTTGTTTTCATATTTTAATACGAACAAAAAAGCCAATGTAAATTTGAAATTTTTAATTTTTTGGAAAAAATGTTTCATTATTTTTATATTTTATATATTTATTTTATATTTTTTATTTGATATTATTTAATATAACAATATAATTATTTAATATATAATAATAATAATACTTAATAAATAACTCTAATATACTGTAATATACATAAGTATTAAAATATAACTATACTTCGCCCGATCGTCTTTTTTTATTCGGTTTGTAAAGTAATCTCGGAAACAAATCCGACACATCCGATTTGGAAATAATGCGGTGTCCGCAAAAGAACGAATTTGATTTTAGAAAAAGTAAAGTTCACTTGCGAAGAAATGTAGAATAAATGCAGCTTTACGAACACACATCCAGCTTAGAAACTGTGGCGCCTGTCTCTCCTAGACAACAATCTTAGTTAGCCACAATATTAATCGACTGTAATAGCGCGAACAGCGAGTGGGATGCCGTATAAAAACTGTTCTTCAATTTTCCTAATGAAATAAGTGCTATCGAACGGGTCTAACACGTTGGAATTAATGTGTGTACCGATCGAAGGAAGACGTACGTAAAGTGTGGGTATTACTGCGGACGCACCAAATACTGCGGTGTTTTATAAAAGTAATAAAATCTAACATTTTGTAGCGTGTATCTTCCAAAAATGAATATCATAATTTTTCATATGTTTTATATTGATAATTTATGACATGCAAGTAACAGCAATCGCAATTTTAATTCATTTATCGGTTTTTGATATTCGGAAGCTTGCGAAAACGTTGAGTCATGAAATACTCGTAACGGCAGCTGTGAACGCTGATTCGAAAGGCATTTATATTTTGGTAATTGATAATAAACTGTTCATTTTAGTGTCATTTTTAGATAAAGTGATCGTTACTTTGACATATATCATTACTTTGACATTATCATCTATCGTCAAATATGATTTACTAACGCAGTACAATTTAGCACATAGTTTTTCGTACCATGCATGTACATTACTGCGGCGCTTCACCGAACTGCGTACCTTAACCTATACAGAGCACAGTTTTCGATGAGCCGCCGCGAACACGCTCGATCGTAGAGTATCTATACCTAATTTGTAAAATGTTACAATGAGAATATCTTGATCCTAGGAATTGTAGCTGTGTGTGTATATGTAAAACAAAATGCAAGAGAGTACAAAGAAAGGAGCACGAAAAATATCAAACAATATAAAGAAGAGGAAAAAAGTAAGGTTATGCTACCCCAAGGAAAACGTGGCATTAGCCTTGCAAGAAATTCGTGGCGGAAACTCTGGTGCACAAATATCTCGGAAATATAATATTCCTGAGTAACGCAGTGATCGGAACATCCACAGTATTTGACATGTAGTAATCGGAAGGTCCGCAGTATTTGTCAAGACGTTCGCAGTACAATTTAGCTCGCAATAGCAGATAAATATCCGCGGTAATATAAGCACACGTATGGTTTGTTTACATTACGCTGTTTAATGAAATTTTTGCTTTTAGAGATCCAATATTTTGAGAGAAGTAAATATTCAAGTTAACCCTTAAATGCATATTGTTGCCAATTGTCTACATTTCAATTTCACTTAATTTTATTCAAAAACCTGAGTATGTGCGTTTCCGAACACACGTTGATAACAATAGACAATAGACCATGTGTGAAATAAAAGACTTGACATTACTTTTGGCGAGTAAGTTATATGTTTTTTGACATTTGAATGTGGTGAGTGATAACTTTCAATGTGTTACTTGGAGAGATATTTTCTTTTTTCGAGTTTCCTATAAAGGAAAGCTTTGTGTCACAACAAAAATCGCAATTGCTTTGCTGCATTTCATTTATAAATAATGTGAAAATTTCTATACTAATAGATAATATAAATACATGACCATTTATTTACGTCTACAATAATTTTAGTAATAAACGCATATTGTTGCCAAAAGTCTACATACAACTTTTTCTCAAAATAAATACTCAATATTATTACCTAAATTTTTTTATTTATTTTTTACGTAACCTATGACTACATTCCTATAAAAAACGATTTTTTAAAATTCAAAACAAAAAATCATGCATTCAAAGGTTAAAGAATAATAGGTATAGCTCAAGTTGCAAATTTATTGGCGTAAAAATTTTCTCTGTCAAAATTTGCCTACATTGAAAAACCGCGGTAATAACTACGCTTGCCCTACTCCTATCGTCCAGCGGATCTGACCTGGCCACAGTCGAAATTTCGAAGATATTCTTAGATACATTACTCAAGGCAGTTTTCGTTGGAATAAAGGAAATGTTCGCGTGGAATCTATATACATAGAAATCTCATTATATTACATCTTACATTACACCGTTACGCAATGCGTTCTTATTTTGACTTGGCAAAAATGATCTAGGAAGTCTTGGAACATCGAAACAACGATGCTAAGCCGGGAAACACAAAATTCACACGTTCGCAAATTAAATTCACTTGTTCGTAACGAACTTCGCACCAAAATTGAAGATGAAACGACACTTCATAAATAACTATTAGTAACATCGTTAATTGAATTATAAATATTATTTTATAAACAAGTATATAAATTCGTAATAAATTTAAAAATTGCATAAGAAACGGCCAATTTGGTTCTATGGATCTTTTTCAATAAAATTTCATTTAGAAAAACGTCGATATGATCTTTACACGACCTTTACGCGTCCACTTACTGGAAAACTATTTACGTGGCTCCTTTAACGCCATACATCTTTTTCCTCTAACATTTTTTTCCTAACTCGAACCAAAACAAAGATATAGCTTGTTACAGTGAATCACCCTGTATATGCATATAAGATTGTAGATTAAGAATAAGTATTTTTACATCATATTTTTATCACTTTGCACTTGAACGTTTGCTGTATAGAACAAATACTTTGCACAGAAAGCAGAAAATATAATATAAAATTATTTATATTATTAATTTATTATTAATAATATTAAAATATTATTAATTTATTATTAATATAATATAAAATTATCGTTGCTCTGTCATTTGAGGTCATTTCAAGGTCACGATGTTGTAGGTTATCGAATTCGTCTTAACGTATTCTACAATGTTGCATTATAAAAGATATTCGGCATAAATAAAGAAGACATTAAGAAATCTATATGTTAAACGAAACACCCTATATACAGTACATTTGTATTTTCTGCGTTTTGTCTTCTACAATGAAGGGGGAGTTTCCAAACTCAAAATGAGTTTGAAAAATGATGCTATTGAATAGGTATCAACTACTGCGTCTGAATCATGGCCTATCAATTCTATTTCTTGTCTTCGTTTTTCGATCTCATTTTTCTCGAAAACAAACGAAATAATATTATACCTTTCCTCGACCTGTACTCAGACGCAACGTGAGGCTCCACCTCCTGACTATCGCCGCAGCGTCTCGCTCCCCGCGTTGCTCGCATCGGCTTAGCGCCGCAGCGCCTCGCTCCCCGCGTTGCCTCGATTCGCTCACAGCCAATAGGGGGAACGAGGCGCTGCGGCAGTGGTTAGGAGGCGGAGCCCAATGTTGCGTTCCGAAGCATTCCGAGCACTGACTTAGACAGTACACAAATCTGAGGAGTAAGCTCTTCATACAATACAGGTTTACCACTTAAAATTAATCCTTTCGTAGATCATATTCATCTTTTCGCAAACAAAATTAACCCTTTTGCAGGTCCCCCTCCTCTTTTTTGTAAATGAAATTCTACTTTTCTTTCACACGAAATTCACTTGTTTCTAATCATTCACAATCAAATTCATATTAAATTAAATAATTAAATAAGATTTTATAAATCATTATTGAAGATTAAAGAAGTTAGATTCATATTAAATTTAAAAATCGAATGACAGTTTAAGTACGTAGATTCGTATTAAATTAAAAAATCGAATGATATTTCATAGATAATTATTGAAGATTAATGGAAATTAATTATGTATAATTTTATAATAACATAAATTCGTATTAAATTAAAAAATTCAATAAAAAACATTGAATTTTGATCTGTGAAACGGTTGCTTTTATTTGCAAAATGTTGAATAAAACCTACAAAAGGGTTAACTCGATTTGCAAAAAGGTGAATATGATTTTCGATAGGATTAATTTTGAATACAAAAGCTTCAATATTCCTACACATGTACGCTTCCAAGACTCAGTTCCTCTATCATAGACTTACAGACCCCATAACGTGAAGTCACATATATTCTTCGATAAAAGAAGATGTACTGGATTTTTTTGCATCATTGATGATGAGTTCGCAAAAGTAATTCTTACCCACGAGGAAGGCTACGTTAAGAAGACCTTTCTGCTCGGATGATAGTTTCAAGTCGCACTCCGCTGAGGGAAGAATGTACGCGTTAATGCCGTTTTGACATCCAACGCAGAGGAACATGGCGCCGCAAAGAAGTAGGAAGCCATAGTGAAACCTTCCGTGCCCTGAAATTTTTCAACCAGATATATATTCAGTGGAACGTTAACACCGTTGAAAAATCAAATTCTGTTAAGTTGGGAGGGGGGAGGTTGTTCCTGTTCAGAGTCACGAGCTTCAAGCATTTTTTTAGATAACGATTAATAATATTTTTTTTCAAATGCTTGAAAATTTGGTATACACCTGTAACTGTATTTTAAACTGACGCGGTATAATTTTTATGCAATTATCGTTAATATCATTAACATTATTGTACAGTTTCGGCAGGATAGAATTTTTTTTATGATTGCCAAGATATCTCGACGATACCTCGATCAATTTTTTTCAAATTTTACGCATACACACATAAAACACACAGACATCCTTTCATCTTGCGAAAGAAAATTGTCCCAATTCTTTTTATTGTATAAAAAAGTTTCAATTTTACTGCCTTTCTGCTTTGCACGACTGTCATTTTGTTGACAAATATATTTATAATTATGTTAACACCTGGAAAGGAGTGATTCCTGAGGTCATTTTTCCTTAGCGAAAATGTAATCCGCGGCTTCGTTTATGAGTTATCAACAAAAAGCACTGACCAATGAGTGGCGTGCTCACTTAGCGCCAGCTGAGCTCTCCAATCGGAGAGCGAGCGCGGCCGGCGCTTCGCCCTTGGGGCCAATGCCGCGTCACGCTGGTCCGCTGACGCAGCGGCAGAGGTCGCGAGGGCGGGGCACCTGCCAATCTCGCCTCTCATTGGTCACTGTTTTTCGTTAATAACTCGTTAACGATGCCTCGGAGAAAATTTTTATAAAGGAAAAAGTTACTTCAAATGACCTCAGGGATCACTCCTTTCCGGGTGTTAACATAATTATGAGACACCTTGTAGATTACAGCATAGATTATATTGTAGAAATGTTTTAGAACGAATGTGACGACCTGACTTGTAGCAGCTATAAAAAATTATGTCCTACAGAAACGATACGATAATAATAAAGATAATTGCATACAAAATACACTGCCATAGCCATGCGTGTATGCAAAATGTAAAGAAATTACGTATAAAACCAGAACCATTCTTTACCTAAAATATTGCTTAATATTGATGGTTGTTGACTGAAATGCTATTAGAAATTACAATATTAATTGTGATTTAGTGTCACAAGGATCGAAATAAACAGTTACCTTAAACAAATTCTGTTGAATTTTATGCGCCTTTTTGTCGAAAACATTTGTTCCTATAGAATTTTTATGCGAAAAAAAGAATCAAAAACTTATCAGAACTTTAAAAAGTGTTCTTGTGGAAGTTTAGCAATTCTTTCGAGCTTTGATTGCAGCAACTCCTAAATCAAGTTTAGCAAATTGTAAAGTTCGTGTATTAATTATTCGGAGATATGCGTTAATTTGTTTCGATTATATCTGAAGTGCGGATCCCTGTGCGAAATAAAAAATCTTCTAAGTAAATTGTGTCAAATGTAAGTTAAATTTTCTTAATAATTCAAAAAACGCTGTTCGATTAATTGATAAAAATGTAGAAATATCCAGAAATTTTTCTAATGTTTTTATAGTTTCGTATCTTCATTGGTCATTTTGATCGTGAACGCATAAAAATCTGCAGTCTGATTGTAACCTTTAATCGGAGAGAAAATAGATTCGAGTAAATACCGAAATATCTTACCGCAAATTTTAATTGCTTTCTCGAAGTCCGCACTTCCTTCTTTGTGTCCGCGGTTATTTTCTGAAAATAAATATATGTCGTTGTAGTAAATTGCATTTGTTGTTACGAGGCTGCGAACATTTATGCAAAATGAAAATTGTCCAAGTTAATTGTAAGAAACGTAAATCAGACAAGAATGTCTTTCCGCTTTGAATCATTTTAATACAATATGAATACAACATAAAAATATTTTCTTCGATTCAGTCATTTTAGTTGAAAATGCATAAAAGTCGCAGTGTATAGTTATTACACTTATTTCGTTCGACGATACGCTTTCTTTTATTCAACGCTTTCGGAAAGGAACGATTCCTGAGGTGATTTGAAGTAACTTTTTCCTCAGCGAAAATGCAATCCGCGGCTTTGAAAACATCGGCCAATGAGAGGCGAGATATGCTGGCGCGAGGCGGCCGAGCCAACGAGCAGTCGAAGCTCAGTTCCTCTGATTGGCTCAGCTGCCTGGCGTTAAGCGAGCTCACGAATCATACCGTAATACCTATTGGCTACCGAGTTACACGAGATGTTTTGAATAGGTCAAATAAAATATCAATATTTCAACTGATCGCAGTCTATTCAAACTAAAAAAACAATGAGGATAAAATGGAGAGAATGTTCAATGGAATTGAATTGAATTGAAAACAAAATTTGTATTTTTTTTTAAATTTAATTATAAACACTGCATTTTGTTTTCATTATTCTATCCCAACAAAAACCTAAATATATGCACTAGTAGTATAAGATGAAAAAATGAGGCTTAAATATATGTATAATATTAGATGTCATATGTCTGTATCCGTTTTTTGTGTGGAAACTGACCACTGTAATCAATCGCGGCGCACTGCCGAAATCAAAACAAACGCTCCACGCACTCAGCCTCACACGACCATATCACAACATCGTTGACCTCCAAACATACAGTAAATTCTGTCCTAATTGTCCCTCAGTCGTAACGAAACGTGTGCGCGATACGCCGATAGTTTTCGAAAATTTTCCGCACGCAGTGCGGAAACATCGTGATTCAGAATTCGCAGCGTTCTATCGAGTCGTTTTTAATTACTATTAGCACAATGACGATAACAACTCCAGCAATTGATCGTAAATGCACGGTGCAACGGAGTCGATTAAATATAATCTTTACGAAAGCTCTTACGAAGGCTTTAAGATAATATTAATCTGGGAACCCATTTCATGAAAAAATTTCGAGTCAACTAAAAAACAATATTCGAACGCGTTCGAGGTGCATCCTGGAAAATAAGAAATAACAATGGTGTGGACTATTATTAAAAACTTTTATCTAATCATTTGTATTAAAATTTTATTTAAAAATTTTATTTAATTACACCGACTTGTGCGTATGCATATCTAAGTTTCTCATAAATGTATGTTCCGCGTTGTGAGTTTAATTGAAATGCAGGCAATTGTTCCGATAACGTTAGAACTACCAGAGATAGGTGGTTGAAAAAAAAAATGATTTCAGACGTATTGTTTTCCAATTTTTTAATGCTGCAACGGTGTTTCTGTGAATATTTATTTAATAATTTATTTAATAATTTGTTTCAATCGTTGCGAAATAACTTCATCGCAGAATATTGCATTTGCTTTTCGTAATATAAAGAAATGTCCAATTGTTTGGTTCGATGAAGAAACTGTTATGATAAATGAAAAATTTGTCTCAAGGTCAATTTTAATTTCGACGATGTTTTCTTTTTTCCCTTCTCTTTTTTAATAGGACGATGACGTTTTATCATTACAACACAAGAGCTGGGGTCAAGATTTATCCAATGATCTATAATCTATAATCTTCGCGTGACTTTGAATGCAAAAAAATTTAGACATCGATGATCATTATCGTAATTACGCTGCCGCAGATTTGATGCATTCTCGAAAAACTTATATGATAATATAATTATATTATTATATTATATTATATATAATATTATATATATACATAAATTATGTATAATATCGTTACATTATTTTGAATTTTCTAAAATTATTAAATTTTCTTCTCAATATTAAACATTCTTATCTAATTCCTATTTCTTAGAATTCCATTGAAATATTTTCATTTCACCGACAGATCCGCGGTCTCATCGTAATATTTGCCCCTTCGAGCAAAGCAATATTTTGCTTCGATATTTTTTCACGTTATCGAAAACAAGCGAAACATTCGAAGCGATCGAATTGGTTCGTTCTACCTGTACGATGAGAGTGAAAATCGGTCGCGTTAATCGCTCGGTAGGATCGACGATATGTAACAAGGGATAAAAATACACGAAAGTGGAAGATTCGAGACAGTAAACGGTTGATCGAATTTTTAGAGGCGAAGCATGGGGCGTGTCAGTCAGTCGGTCGACGATGCCGGTGCTTTTCCGTTCTTCTGAATTCAAAGCAGCTCACCGTCGTACGATCGTTCGCGACGACGAATGGTGCGCGACCAGAAATTATGAAAATATCTATTCAAGAGCCTTAAACAGTTTGGTTAAATTAACCTACCATAAAATTCTAATTCGACCTGAAACAAACTTATCCTATTTATTATTTATTATTTATTTATCCTAATATATATATATATAAAAAGATTCGACAATTTATTAAATTTTTTGAATCATGAAAATTTAATAAATTGTATTGTAAAAGAAAGAATTTTACACAATTTTCGTGATTCAAAAAATTTAATAAATTGTCGAATGTTGTGAAGGAACTACGCCATAAACCATAAGGTGCTTATAATATTCGTAAAATAAAATATGCGTAGTAAACATGGATTTGTGTGTTATTTTCATTTCGATGTGTATGCTTTGAAAACTTGAGAAAACAATTTGATGATATAAATAATAATAATAAATATAGAATAAATATACAATATACTATATAATATAAAATGAATATAAAATACGATATATAATATGAAATAAATATACAATAAATAGAAATATTTATCTTATAATTAAGATATCATCCTTACACGTATCGTCGGAAAATGGTAAATGGAAAATGTCTGCCTTCCTCGGGTTTTCAAATATTATTCAAACCGGACGAATAAATAGAAACAGTTACGTAAGAAATAACTTTGAGCTTGCTACTAAGAATTTCGTCACTTTTAATAATAAAAATTAAAAATAATATAATAAAATATAAATATATATAAATATAAGTAAATATATTTATTTATATTATTATTATATATTTATTTATAATATTTATATATTTGTATATAAATAAAAATATAATAATAATAATAAAAATTTCCATTTATCGTTGGAACATTTTCGAAAAATTGTAAAAATTGCGGTCTCGTGGTTAGGCGTAGAAAGAAAGCGCAATGCGTTTAAAACCGAATGTGAAAACCAAAGTCAGTTTCAAGGCTGATGAGGCTGGAAGAAATACGTAGAAGTATAGAACAGAATTTCTAAGGTGTGTACGTAGAATTGAAGAGTAATTAAAGGAAACAATTGCAATTCGGCATTTTAACGGGATCCATTGTGCGTCTGTGTATGCATCTCGGCGCGCCCACCTGCGGATCAATTTACATATTTTTTCGGCGAACGGAATATGATCGAAAGCGCGAACAAATGCTGTCACGGTCGTAATACGAGGAAGTAATTATTGCGAGTTTGGTAATAATTATCTCGACGATGTTTCGCTTGATCGTTGATCTACGAAGGCATGCGATAACTGACGACGAGTTTTGTGAAATTTCGAAAACGTTACATCATTCTCCGATCCAGTTCTTCGATTTAGTTGCAGTTGATACGAGACCATTTTTTCATTCACAATTATTGAAGATACATTTAGGAGTTGTTTATTCAATTGTTGTTCGAGACAAGTGATATATCGAACAATCCTCTTCTCAAATTGTGTGTGTGTGTGTGTGTGTGTGTGTGTGTGT